CCCCAGGCGAGGGTGCCAACGGCTGGTGGGCCTGGCCCCAGCTATCACCACCACCACATGCCCCAGCACGGTGCCACTGCTGGGTTGGGGCCATGGGCAGCGTTGGGATGGGGCCGGGGCCATGGACCTGCATGGGACCCAGCCCCATCCTGGCGCTGCCGATGGCCCCGGCCACGTGCTGCCGGTGGGCCCTGGCCCCGCGCAGGCCCAGCGCTAGTCGGCACCACCACTGCCACGGGTCCTAGCCCTGCACAGCCCTGGCCTCAGCCCGGTGCTGCTGCCAGCCCCATCCTGGCAGTAGCAACAGCCCGGTTACAGCCCCAGCCCTGTGCTGCCAGCGGGCCCTGGCCCCAGCTCCAGCCGCAGCCCCATGCTGCCCACGGCCGGGCTCCAGCCCCAGCCCCATGCTGCTGGGTGGTCCTGGCCCCACAGCTCCAGCCCCTCGCTGCCAGTGGGCCCAGGCCCCAGCCCCACGCTGACCACGGCACCGGCCTCAATGGGCACAGTGCCGGCATCTGCTGTCTTCCCGCCGCCTGGAGCCAGGAGGCAGCAGTTGTTTGCAGCCTCCCGGCTGCAGCTGGCCCAGTTTCCTGGTAGCTGTTGACAGCCACGGAGTCTGGGCTGCTCCCAGGATCCAGCTGGGAGGATGGAAGCCCTGTTGCAAGCAGCCCGGGCTCCGTGGCTATCAGCAGCTACCCAGAACCTGGTCCGGCTGCAGCCGGGAGGCTACAAACAGCTGCTGCCTCCTGGCCCTGGCTCCCGCTGCCTCCCAGCCCCAGATCCAGCCCTGGGCTCTGGGGAGGCAGCGGATACGGGCAATGCTCCCCACTGTGCTGCCTTTGCCACCACTTTTGCAGAGCAGCATGTGAAACCTGGTGCGGTAGGCACAGCGGTGGGTGCAGAAAGCTGCCTGTTGCTCCGAGGTCCCTGCTGCCCTGGACACACTTACCCTGAAGGCAGGGGCAGCACGAGGAGCTCAAACCTGTGTGCTGCCCATGCTGCTCCCATGCACACAGGGGAAGTGTGACCTGGGCAGCGCGGAGCTTGTAGCAGTAGGCAGCTTCCCTGTGCAGCCCCTCTGTGCACTGCCACTCTGGGTCGCACACGCTGCATTTGGGAGGGCCCAGGGGAGGGCAGCAGGGCTGGGAGTACAGTGTGTGTGAGGGCAGCACAGCAGGGAGCATCGCCGGTATCTGCTGCCTCCCTGGAGCCTGGGGCCGGGTCTGGGAGGCAGCTAGGGCCGGGGCTGGGGCAGGCAGGCAGCAGCAGTTTGTAGCCTGGCTGCAGCTGGTCCAGGTTCTGGGTAGCTGCTGATAGCCACGGAGCCTGGGTTGAGGGGCAGGGGCAGCAGGGGTATGAGCAGGGCTGGGGGGCAGGGGCTTTGGGTGGGGGGCAAGGGGCACAAGCAGGGCATCCTGCCATGTAGGCCCTGCCCTCATTTTGTTTTTCTGGCATGCCAGCACTCCGGCATCTTCCAAGGTAGGCATTGTGGGTTTTTCGGCACTCCAGCCAAAAAACATTGCCTGCCCCTGGTATAGCATTTCTGCCCTCAAGTCCTCCTGGAGCTCCTTCAATGTCAAGGATATCAAAGGCCCCTTAATGTTGAATCCTGGCCATTTTTTCCCCTGAGCAGTTCTGCTGAAGTCAGTGGGGACTTCTTCAGGTTAAACAAAACAAGCAGGAGTTCAGTGGAGACTGAAGAATTTAGGCAACTGATTCAGTGTTAATGGAGTCTGGGCTCTTTGGGGCAGATTTCCATAGTTATGTTAGGCATCTAATTCCTGTTGAGATGCCTATACTCCCAATGATTTTAAGATAGGAGTCAGCACCTTTTGGGATTTCCCTGAAACTCTGTTGAAAATCCCAATCTGCACAAGGGTCCTTCAGGATCCATCCAAAATGTTGGCCCAGTTCTACTGGGCACTGTACATGGATCTAGTGAGATCAAGTTCCTACCCTGAAGAGCCTGTCGTCTAAGTGGAGAATCATTATCATTCTTATTTTGCAGACATGTTTGATAGATTGGTATTGTTTGCAATAATCCAGAGTTAAATGTGTTTATGCTACAGTAATATTTTGTGGCTCAGTTTCCCTGACTAGCTTGTACATGGGATAGGAAGAAGTTAATCATGTTTTGGGGCACACTTGTGGGAACCTGCCTCTGTACTTTATTAGTGGGGAATAGGACATTAAGCGAATGATAGACAATTTGCATAATACCACTGAATTCAGGCATTAGCACCTGGAGACTCTGTGCTGTTTCTGGTACCAATTAAGGACTTCAAAGCCTTAGTGCAAGAGACAGTCTTGGAAAAAAGGACTCCCAAGACCAGGCAGAGGAGAAGAAAGGCAAAATGAGAGGAGCCTGAGAGGCTTGGGAGTAAACAGCAGGGGCTGTTACAAGACAAAGACTACTAAGGAGTTAGCCTGGGCTTCAGGCCCCAAGGACTCTGCCTGCTTTAAACTCTAGTAGAGGCATAGCTGTGTCATCCACTTTGTGCACACACTTGAATGCCAAAATAGCATGTGTCAGCATTCCACATCCATTTCCATCATGTC